CTTGACTTCGAGAGTACCAATCTTGATTCTATGACTTCACTGGCTCTTCTTCCTCAGGCCTTTGGTCCATTTCCTCTCATGATCCTAACTCTAAATCCTGGAGTATCTGTGCTTCATAGACTTGAGCCTCTTCTCTATACTTGCTTCTTCCAGATTTCATTTAATCACATGGCTTTAAATCTCATCTCTATACTGATGAGTCTCAAATTTGTAATTCCAGTCTAGTCCCCTCTCATTTCAGACTTGTATATCCAGTTTGATATACATCCATCTCTACTTGGAAGCCTTACAGGCATCCAAAACTTAAAAAGGTCAAAACTAAACTCTTGAACTGCTTCTCCTTCTATTCCAGAATCTACTTCTCTCCCATTCTCCTCTAGCTCAGTAAACAGTCATTTATTTTTTCCAGTTGTTAAGGCCAAAACCTTGGAATCATCTTTGTCTCTCCCCTCTCTTCCTATTCTTCTTTCCCTTCCTTCCTATTTTAGTCATCTGACAAATACATGGTGAAATTAGTGCCCACTGACTTATGTCTACTGTTAGTCAACTAATAGCAGATTACGTCTGTGTGAGACAGTCGGTGAATGATTTCCTGCCATTGATTTTTTTTTCTTCTTCAACTTATCTTGTTCAAGTTCCTTATGTATCACACTGAAATTAAAATTTGCAGCCTTGAGAGCAAAAGATTTAAAAAAAAAAAAAAAAAAAAACCAGCCTATCTGATGACCTTAACAAAGATCATCTCACTTAAACGGGCTTCAGAGAGAAACCAATATTAACATAATCAGAGTACAAAAAGTTGCTCAGTAATACACATAAGCCAAGAAACAGCTCTTTTGAAGACAGTAATACATAGAGCTCAAATTAATTATTTCTCCTATATTCATTGATAAAATACATAGACATTTGCTTTTAGCATTAAATATGATGCTAGGAAAACAAAAAACAATAAAAATGTGCTCATACCAATATCAGAGAGATGTGATTTTGCTTTTTGATCATTTTTTAAAATGTCACTTATTCAACAAGGATCATTTATTACATCAAGAAAATGGCAAACGAATAAAACAAAGATTTGATATTATTGGGTGTTACTCAAATGCCAAGTTGTCTCAATTCAAGGTCAAATCCACAAAAGCGCCTTTGGTCCCTTCTTATTTCATTTTAAAATACATGACCACAAAATGAACCAAGAACTTGTCAGCAGCTACAGGAAACAACGTTGTGATTATCTTTCGTATCTATGTGAATTCTTTCTGTCCAATCTTTTTATGCAAATCAGTATGAAACGACATGCAAATTCTCTTTTCTTCTTCCTCCTTGTATACATCATGAAAAAGTACCCGTGTGAATCCTTTTAGCCTTTTCAGTCCTCACTTACCATCTTCCAGTACAAGGACAACAGATACTTGAAATGTAAGAAACTGTGCATGGGATTCTATTGTCTAGCTTATCAGTCTATACTCTTTGTGACAGAATTATTGCAATAGCAAAAAAGGAAAGATGATAATTCACTATCAACATAAAAACAGAACACAGAGTGAAAATTGTGTATTTTTTGTGATAGTACTTCGAAGAAATGCCTCATTGCTTTAAATAAACAAAATAAGTCTTTGAAATTCATCTTGGCTATTTAACATTCACACAGAAGAACTATATGGCTTTCTTGATCAAGTCTATATAAAACGAGGGATCCATTTTTATAGAATCAATCATTTTTACCATGAAATTCTAAGTAAATCTGATGACATTTAAAATGTATCAGCTAGTGGGAATACAGTAATGTGACACTCTCGTAATATGACACTGACTCTCCTTTGTGTGCTAAGGTACCTAGAATATTAAAAATGAAATAATCTTCCTCTATCATTTCATTTTCAGTTTCTTTCTTGGAATATCAATGTTCAGGAAAGGATACTTTTGAACTGTTGAGACAAGATGTACTATATTATTTAGTGTTAAAAGTAATAGAAATACTTAAAGGGCTCTTACAAACTTCCCTCTGTAGGATACTATAATCCTGCTTAAGA